AAAGTGCTGCAGAATACACAGACAGTTGAAAATAATGCATCTGATTCTGGTCGGTACTGCTCAACACACAGAGAACATTATGCCCGATTTACATCCTATCAGCCTCTGTCCAAATTCATATTTTGCCGACCACCATAGATTCATCATCACAAATTCCTTTGCAATAATAGCACGTTGTCCGTGCGTTTCACCAGCACACCATTCAACGCTGTCAGGCTCACTTTGCCTATTAATTATATTACTGTGCCTATTTTACATATAGTAGGCGGTTGTCAATTTCTCGTGTTTCTATGGAAACAGATCATATATTATGTACAGCCTATAGCACACCACGTTGTTGTACCCCGTTTTCTATCATTCAGATTTTGGCCATTCTGTTTGACGTTCACCATCCCTGTGGAGATTTGGATAATTGTGCAAGTGAGTGGATATCGCAAATATGTTTTTGAATGTCTTGTTTTTAACCGATTTCAGGCTATTGGGACTCACATAGATTACATTCCATGTCCAGTTAAAATTAAACTGGGAAACTATTTTATTCGCTATCAGTAAATATGCCTAGAATGGGTTTCAGATCCAGAGAAGAGCACAGACGAGAAAAAGTAATTGTCAGTTGACGCTGACTGCATGTGAGTGCAACCGGGCGTTCTTCTTTATCTACGTGAATCGATAATCAAGTTCATTCCAAAGCTGAGAATCTGCGTTGCCGATGAACGGACAATTGGTCAAGCGCCACCATGCGGCTCAAAACTGTAATGTTTTAACTTCAATTTGCCTTGTCTACCCAATTAAACGAGATACGTAGGAAGTAGACGGGGTTCGCTGTAACCTTAATAACATGACATATTCACTCTAATTCCCTAGTAAATCTAGTACCTTGGTTCATGGCACGCACTCTCGAATGTGTAACTCCTCTTTCCGCCCGCCTTGACGCAATCTATGGGTATACGAAGCACATCTATATATTTAGATTGGTTGGCGAATCGTGGAATAAATTGATTGTACATAATTGTTTTTAACTCAATCTTGATCCTGAACCGAGATAATGATAGACACATAGCACCAAGCGACGCCGACCGTAAATTTTAACCCGATTTTACAGACAGCTAGAGACGGGAGTCCAAACACACGCACCCAGTTATTGACGAACATATATCATTAGTTGAGCATTAATCAGTATGACCTACTAAATCGCTCTAACAAGGATGCTGCGTTGGTAATGACGATCACATGAACGAACAGTCCGGATGATTCTTTGTAACTTTTTAAAAAGTAGACAAATCATTAAATACATTTTTAATTTTATTTGTAAACATCATAAACCAACAATTTAGTTTCTTCTTAAGCATTCAACATATTTTAATAAATATTGACCAAATATCTCGACACATGTCATCAACTTTTTTTACTTGGTGAAAATGAAAAATAAGCAAAAATGAAAATTTATGGGATATTTCCATAAAATCTCTTTCATGTCACAGGGTTATTCCATAAAAATATAAATAATATCAGAAGTTCTTAATAATTCTTGACAACTATAATTACCCATCGTATAACTACTTATGTTTTACGCCATATGTAATCGAATGCGATATGCCGAGAAACTGTTTGTTTGACCTTTGATTTGCGCGAAACGTTGACCGTTATCTATTTTTATCTGGTTTTGTGCAGTACGTTACTTACTACGTCATATACATGACGTAATGATGTTTGAAGACTCGCGTACGCAGTGTAATTATTCAAGTAGTCATACAGCTGTGACAAATCTAATTCTAAACCGTGCACACGCTTGGCAAATTGTTGTCGATTGTCTGTTGACATTTGCATTATTGAAAATATTACAAATGGAAGACAAATGACAATCTTAATAGCGTGGGGGTGCAGCACACTGGACATGTGTGATAGTAAATTACAGATGAACAATAACATATATTGGAATCCTAGTTTAGTTTATGTATCGTGCCATGGGGCCGACTGAAAATACATTAGTTATTAAACTGAAAATAAAATATGGTTGGTGACGTAAATTTGAGAGTGACGTCATATGTACTAATTATATAGCAGGTAATGCTATGCCGCATAGTTAAAAATTAAATAATAAAATTATCACTATCACTAATTATTATTATTTTTGGTAGCCCAAATAAAAAAGTGGTGTTAAGTAATAAAACAAAAATCATTTTTACCAGTATGAACGTTATTTTTACCAGTATGTATACTATACATGAAATGTTTTATAAATCTTTGGTATGATAAGCACCACCGTGTGAGGTTTCCCGCAGAAATAAATTACGATATATATTTGTACCATTTCACTGTTATCCTTTATAATCAATATATTGTTCATTCCTTGCGATCAGTGTTAACTTACTGTGTCTTTGTTTTTTAACAAAACTTTTCAGTCCAAACAAGACATGAAACTTGATTTTTGAAAATTTATCGTAATGAATCAACAGTCAAATAAGACATTCAACAATCACCATTGCATAAACGACAATAGTTAACATTCTTGGTGTGTTTTGAATCATGCTCAAGGTTTAGATTAACGAAGTTTACATTGTGTGTACCATGTACACAGGGTTTTGTGTGTCGGGTCAGTTTGAAACTGACATGTTCGTTGTACAAGTCATGTATGTTTCACAATTGATGAAGTTGTGTTCAATGACGTGAACATAAGATCAGCACATATTACACAGTGTTTTGAAATAACTACAGTCGTATGCCAGGTGTACTAAAATACATTACTCAGTGGAGATGTTTCATAAATTGTGAGAACGTACAATTTGCCCATGTGTTTTTCTTATCTTCAAAATGCTGTATACTTTAACGTTGTAGTGGCGATTTCCAGTAGAGTTAAAGCATATACATACACAAAGCAAAATTCGATACGTCTCAACAAACAAACAAGCTATTCTCTGATTGGTCTGACTGTTATGTTTTAGCCAATCAGGCACACTCTTGCAAATATCTTCGCAATGATGGATAGATCAAATACCATTATATGTTAACAATCTGGTAATAAATTTGACCACTTTAAATTCGTTATTTTATTCTACCAATGATTGACAGCTTGTCTATCTCCTCGATAAATTATCTCTTATTGCACTTCGAGCAAAATCGTTCTGATCACATATTGCATAACATACTCATACAAGTAAACAAATACAACAAAAACCTCTATTTGATGAAGCCAAAGATTGTAGTGAAATTAAAGCAACACTGCGACGTGTGACATGCACGAATTCCATTATTGATAAAGTAAAGCTGGATATTGAAATTGTCCAGGGCCTCACGTGAAAATAATCCGTCATTTCATAAGGAATCACATAATGATTATCAACGGTATTCTTTAAAGATCTTCGCATAATTCCCATATTTCACCAATTGTAATTCTAAGCTAGCGTCTTTTCAGGCTTTAACGCTACTTGAAAAACTATTAACATGTTATCACCAAGGAAATAAGTTAGGTGTCCAATTCTCGCTTTAATTATTTTCTTAAACATACTTGAGAATATGAATGCATTATATAACATTATTTTGAAAAGTATTTT